GACTTAATTCTAGGGATTATAAAATCATACCTTGTAATGTTTAAATTGGGGTTATAAAAAAAAGGTAGGACCTGAACTGAAGCATTAGTAGAAAAATGTCATCTGTAATAAATGAATTAGGAAAGATACCTGAAGCAAGGCTAATACTAGTATTTACCACAAAATGTAAGCCAGACTATGAATAAGAGTGTTGAAAATTGTCTTCCTTGTTATTAAATGGCAATGCATTTATCTATGTGTTAGAGATCAATGGAATATGCAGATGGTTAAACCAGACATGTTTTTATCTAGTTTAGTGTGAACAGAAAGTTATGATCTGATTTTATGAGTACTTCTGGCCTGACCTTTGAACTAATTTTGCGAAGTTCCCAATGTGATTGCTATCCATGGGTTTTATTTAGATCTCAGTGAGGAAAATTACTGCAATCTTCTGCTCTTCAAATGTACATTCTGAGCCAGATATTCCTTTCCCAAAAACTTTCTAGTAGGATTCACTGGTAAAAATCCAATTGCAAAATCAAAGTGTTTGTCTGTTAAAACAGTGATGTCTTTCAGAACACAAAATAAGGGCAGAGTGCATGTAATGATTGAAGCCATACTTCTAGTTGTACTTCCCTGTCAAATATATATTTCTGTTATTTGTTTCAGTATTTCTCATATTCCAGATCATGGGACTTTCCTGTATTTGTCAACTCCTCAGTCATCTGGAGGGTTTTCCTAGCTGTTATTTTCCAGTAACCAGAATTCAATGATATTACCAAAATCCTTGCCAGAACCCCTTTGTCTCACTTGAAATAATTCTTGCACAGCCTCCTGGATGCTCTGTAAACCTCAGCAGCCATGTGTGGCATCACTCCTGCCTTACCCAAACTTGATATCCAGCTCTGTCACTGCAGCAGCACGTGGAAAAGGGAGAGATGGATGAACCACATCTGATTATTTCTGCATGAATAAGGTTTTCTTAGCTAAATAGAGGCCTAGGCCCTTTTCATGTGAAAAAATCCACTGCAGACTATTGGCCAGTGTAACTACGTTTATGAAGTTTTCCAAAAGCACGCTATTGACTTGATCGTGATGCATTGTTGCTACATTTTATTATATAAATATGTACTTAGGAGCCTTTATAAAATGCAGATTATTGATCCAGTCCTATAAATATTTACTGAAAGTTTTAAAACTCCAATTATTTGACCTGAATGTGTAGCTACTCACTCTTAAAAAAAAAAAAAAAAAAGCCCCCGTAATGTATCTGTATTGGGAATCAAAAAAAAGTTCACAATTACCTTAAAAAGTTGTTATTACTTTTGGAGTAATTTCAAACTTCACAAATTGTGTTTCTCTTATAGTCTAATGGCTTACAAAATTTTGTGTTTAAAATATGAATTTTTTTAATGACAGGAAGAAAAAAAAATTAAATATGTTTCAGTTCTAGAATTTGTTTTCTAGGTTTCAGTCCAGAGCAAAATTTTTATGGTTGAGTTACAAACCTCTGAAAATAGGGGTTTACAATGGAAACACTGACACCACTTTAACTATGGCAGCACTGGCAGAGCAGTGAAATATACACTAGAAATAGAAGGCAAGATTAGAGATGACATTTAGGACATGAGGCCTTCTCCAGGCTGTGGGAAAAATAACTGTGATCTATTTTTTTCCACAGCCTGAAAAAGGCCTCCTGGTCTAAGTGTCACGTCTAATCTTATTTCCCGTTCATACCACACATTTAACTTACTCCTTCTTTAATTATTATTGGCAGCAATTTGTTGCAGTTTTAGGTACCAACCCATGTCCAAATCAGAGCTTCCCTGGATGTCAAGGTGGGGAGGTACCAAGGAGACCGAGGACTTTGCTGATGTTTTGGTCTCCAGGACACCCAGTGCCGCAGCTGGCTGGGGGAGCCACCCTGCTGCTCTGGGTCAGGCAGGGCAGAGCCCTCCAGCTGTGCAGAGCAGGGCGCTGCAGCACTGGGCACGCTGCAAACTGCATTTGCTAAGGGCACAGCAAAGCCTGACAGCCAAATACACTTCCCCTGCAGCGCCTGCAGCAGCAGCCAGGGCAGGCAGGTGCTCAGGTGCAGTGACTTCCAGCACCCCTTCTGGAGCAGGCCACATTTCCCACCACAGTTTAGTCTTGATCCAGGGTCCTGAATAATCCAAAGTGAGAATGCCCAGAACACTAAGAAATAATTTGGTTAGCTGTGACTCTGGACTGGGCTGCCTCCACCACAAAGCTGGGGTGTTAATATTGTCAGGAAGATCTCTCTACCAGTGTGGCCCCCATGAAAGCAGGGACTTGGTACTGTCTCCAAAAGGTAAGCTCAAGGGATAAGTTTTAGATTTCTCTATGTTAAACCCTTTTTCCACACTTAGGCATCCTCCGAGTCTTAGTTGCTTCAGTTTTCTATTCACTGCATTAAATGATAATTCCCTGTATACATTTATGGCCTTTTAATGCCTACTGTGCTACAACATTGCTTTGCAGTGATCTTGCAATCTCCATTCTCAGTGTGGGGTAAAAAGGAGCAATAAGGAAAGAAAATGTTGCTGCAGAACAAATGCAATTGTAATTACTTCTTGCTCCTACCAGAAGAATGCCAGTAGGAGATCCATATCCTGAGGGTGATCAGACAGACAGAATGCATCTATCCTGTCTATATTGCTTGAATGGTCAAGGTAGAAACTTATTCTACATTTGAACTGCATTTTCAGTACCCATCTGATCAATTCTTTTTATTGCTGTACTCACAGTAGACAAAGATACTGGCAGCTACTGCCCATTCTCCAAGAAATGTATCCTGCAAAGTCAATAATAGAGGCAAATTTATTGCTGAAGCAATGGCCTAGTGAAGGTGCTTCATTCTAGCGCTGTGAAAGTTGGTATTAATGCTGGGATAAACACGACCTGTTCTGTGTGTACATGTAAGTAGGTGTATAATTTTGTTTGTAAGCACAGTATCTTCTTGGCAGGTACTCTGCAGCCAGCAATTGCCAGCTGCTAAATGTTCAAAGAAACATGATTTGAATTGTTCTTCACACTGGGAAAGTAGCCAGGAAAATGCATTTAATATAATCAGTGGATTCAATTCTGACAGCAGAGATGTAGAAAAATTTGCTTACCTGTGAACATATTTTGGATTTTAATTTTTAGAAAGAGTGTTTAATAATAACAACTATTCTCTCTTGCATAAATGATATATTATAAAGCCAGAACAATTGAAATATTAATTATTTGGTAAAGTTGAGCTTTCATGTGCATTTTTCTACAAGATTTTGACATTGTTATTGGCCCAATATTTCATTCTACTTTGTGTTGTTTATAGATCCAGGAAAATGTCATATAGTTTCTTTAATCAGTACAAAATATAAACACTCTGTAAAAAATGTTCTTTTCTGTGGTTAGATCTCTGACTGAACAGTACCTTTTACACAAGCCAAATGCATGATATAGTCATTTGTCAAAAAGTACCATGAAGATTTGAAATGTCATTAATTACTGGAGCTGCTATGAAAGGCTGGTAACCACATTTCTTGTGCACAGGCAACCACTGGGACACAGAATGTTCTTCCAAAAGCACCTTCTTGGTCATACAGGGCTGTGAATGTGGCACATGAAGAAGGGGTGGATCAAAAGTCTCTGCTGGGAAACCAAAGCCTGCACTTGAGGCTATACTGTGCTAATCCCTGAACATGGAGTGCTGCTCCTGTCAGAACACCGTGTTACACCAGCCGCTCTGTCTCACTTGTGACAGCCCCTAATCATATTTTTGGCCAAGAGAGCCAGACTAGAAGTTTCTGAGACAAGATTCTCTACCCACAGAAACTGCAAGGAGTTAACTTGAAAGAACTCTGTTACAGCACTGCAGTGGTGTGAGTTGGCACTGATGATAATCTCACCTGGTCCAGCTCAGTGTGAACCAGCATAAATCTGATTTAAATGATTACATGTGTTTCCATGCAAAAACCAATTTCACTAAGCACACAGTATTGCACCTTCTGTTACCCTGGCACAGCCCTTGTCCAGGTGATTATATCCCACCCAACCTGAAACAAAAATGGGGGCTTGCTGTTTCATAGAGGGAAGGAATGTATTTACAAAACAAAGCTGATGGCTGGCAGGCATGGATCTGCAGCTTTCAAGATCACACCAGCCATGCATGTCCTTGACCCAGAAAAAAAACATATTCCCTTTCTAGGGATAGTAAGTGACCTTGGAAGGACTGTGGCAATGGGTCATATCAAGCCAACACTAGGTCCTTTCATCTGTTTGCTCTTGAAACATTTTGTGTGATGATTCTGAACATATATGGTACTACTGTTCCACCATGTTATCAGAGACAGCATATTAACTGCGAGCTGATAACATGCAAGGGAAGAAACAACATGGAAAAATTTGCCTAGGTGTAGTACTCACTCTGATTTTCCAACACACAAAAATTTAAAAGTAATTGTTGGGTAATCGAGCAAAGCAAACCAGCCTCCTGGCACAATTTGCTAAAGCAAAAGTAAACTAAAGTTCTGAGCTTCACACAACTCTGGGTCCAACTTATCCAATTCCAGCAAAACTGCTGCTTCATGCTGCATTTCTTCCTCTGAAAGTCAGTGTTGATATTTCCTGGTGGTTTATTTCCTTCTTGTGTACCATAGAGATGTGACAGTGAAAGCTTAGTTGCAGTGTGCATGCACAGCATGGGAGTTATCTCCCCCCAACAGTAGGTCCTGTTCTTCATCACTTTATTCATAGGAAGCATTAGGAAGAATGTTAAAATGCTAAATTGTGAAGATTTACAGCAACATTTTTCTATGATAACCTTATATTTATGCTAATTGGAAACTACTTGGAGTATCATGCTGGTCTTATAGTACTACTACACATAATCCATTTTTGTTTTACAGCTTGGGAGGCACATTAGCTGGAGTTGACTGAACAGATTTTACTAGGTGATGAAGATGTCTTCCTCTAGACTTACCGTAGTTGTTTCCCCTCCTTGATGGATCTTTTCCTTTAAGTCACTTTTGGAAACAGCACTACTGGGAAGCAGCAGGAATCCTCCTGCAAGAGATGAGGATTCATGTCAGGATGACACTGATGAGGATTCATGTCAGGATGACACTGCTGAGGATTCACAGTACAACACAGGTAACACTGTCCTTTTTTTTTTATTATGTGGCCTCTTTGGATCAGGCTTCAAAGCTGACCCTCAGCTGTCATTTCTAGGTGCCCTGACTTGAGTCTCAAGCTCCTGAGGGGCTGGAGTTGGCTCCTCACTCTTTTACTTCAGTCTCATTTTCTGTGCCCTACACATTCTCCACTCCACCCTGAAACAGGACTTGAATCACAATTTCCCAGATGCTAGAGAGTGCCTTAGCCCCTACCAAGTAGGTTTGCAGCATTCCTTTGTCTGGTTCAGGGGCTGGTTTGCAATTCAGAGCAGGCTGAGATGCCCTGGCAGGCAGAGAGCCTGGCTCTCAATCCAGGACTGCCAGTTACCAGGTGCTCTGGGCACTCAGCTGGTGAGGATGTTCTTGCTCTGACTGAGAAGAATCTGCCAATCATTCTGAAATCCTCTCTCATTGCAGCAGATGTGTTACTCCATGTGAAAGTTCACATTTGAGAAGCCTCTGCGAAAAAATACTGATGTGCCTAAAACCCTTCTCCATCCACTGACATCTCATTTCTTTCTACTCTCTTTGGTATCCTTTTCTTGAAATCTAATCCTCTCATGTTCTTGGGGAAACCTGCCTTTGGCAAAGATATTTAATGATCCAGAGTTTCTGATGCTGACCCTAAATCAGTTTTTGTAAATATTGCTAATAAGCTTCCTTATCTTCTCTCAGTGCTGCTCATTGCAAACGGGACAAGTTTACTCTTTGGTTTTAAGAAAACGCCTCTCTGATTTGCAAGTTAAACTATTTAAAAATAAAACTAAAAGCTTGATACATAATGTCTTGCAAAAACCCTTAACTATATAATGATTTTGCAATACTTTTATCAGAGTTAAGTTATAAATTCTTACATTGAAACTGCGGTTTTACAGACAGAATATTGCCTAAAAAAGACACTGTTAACTTATGGTGGCGGGTAATGCCAATTCCTGCAGTCTGGTCCTAGTCTTCCTTTGAACATTTGTGAGGGAAAATATGTAAAATTGATTAATTTCTGAAGTATAATAATAGCAGCAATATTATACTGTAGTGAAGGTTATTTTGCATAACTTTAAAACATTTACAGAAGGCTCAACATTTGGTGCCTTAATACAGAAGTATCTTCCCAGTAACAATTAGTGGTTGGTGGTGCCTGCTGCAGTGGCTGCCACAGCCCTGAGGGTCTCAGTCCATGTTTCCTTGCACAGGGCACCATGCACGGCCCCCACCTCGCCTGGGGTCACTCTCAGGGTGTTGGCTGAACAGCTCAGAGCCCAGCTGTGACAAGGGGACAAGCAGGGTGACAGTGTCCATGCTAATGTCTGCAGGAATTTGCACAGGGGGAACAGGGCAATGGTGAGAGCACAGTGTGAAATCAAATCAAAGTGTGAAAGCTGCAGTCAAATGTCACACCCAAGCACTCAGGGGCCTGGCATGCAGCTTGGAAATAGGTTGGGTTACCTGTCAGCGTGGCATTTTGTTTTTGTTGCTGGAGAATGTTATCTGAGGATAAAACCTAAGGAGCACAGATGGTTATTATACACATCTGACCCTCTAAACCCTTGTCATAGCAAATTATACCATTGGCGTAAATGGGATTACTCCTATGTAAAAGATCTCAATTATATTATCTAATTCTTCCATTATTGAAGCTATCTGTTGAATACAGTTTTGTTGCTTTGTGTATGTGTGTGTGTATGTCTATACATCTGTAATTAAATAACATTATCAATGGAACAAACTTTGTCATAGCCTAACAGTACTGCAGTCACAGACATTATGTGGGACCGTAGGATATAAATTCTCACTTTTTGAGAAATTAGAAACATTATTTCTGCACTTTCTAAACAAAGATATATAAACCCTCATTTGACTTTGGAATTTTCTTTGCTTGAGAATCATCATCCCAGAGTCTGTCTAAAGTCTAATGCTTCCTTTTGTAAAAACACAGACATTGAGGACTTGTGGTTGTGGAGTAAGAAAAGTTTAAACTATAAGAAAGAGTAAAACAGCTTAAAATATAGAATCAAGCTTTATTTTTTTACCTATTGTAAATTACTTTATGTATTACAGTGCAAATCTCTCAGCATTTCTTGAAATACTGTTTGTTTAAATGTAAATAATTTTTTCAGCCGTTATTTCTGTTGTCAGACCTCTACACTCTGTGAATCTAATGAACAAGGCCTTACTCCATTCACTGCCTTAGGAAACAGTCCCGCTGGCTTCAGAAACATCAAAATAAGGTAAGTCGCCCTCAGATGAGAATCTTGCAGCCAAGAAATTGACTGAATTGCTTAACTTTACCATGTACCTCACAAATACCACTGTGCAATTTGGTTAGAAAATGCGTCTCACTTCCTTTTGTCTACTTAGAACTGAAGCCAAACCCTTGGAAATTCCTTTTATCTAGGAAAAAATTATGAGAAAATATTGAATCCCTGCCCTCTTTCAGTTTTGAGGTGAAAAAATTACAATTTTTGCATGAAAGCCATGCAGTTCAGCTCTGAGCCTGGCAACTTTCAGTGGTTGTAGTAGTTAGGCATTATTGAGACCTTCTCATTTACAGTCTAGTCAAATATTTTTAATTTGAGGATACCTTTTCCCCTGGAAAACCTGAAATGTTGGAGAAGAAACAATCCCTGGCTTGGGGTTTGAAGCCCTGGGTCACTGGCCACCCTTAATTTTTAAGTAATTACTGGACCAGGTAGTGGCAGACTGATTGCACAGAAACCTGACATGGGTTTTGAAAACTGGATTCCTTCTAATTAAAAACACATTGTGAATTCTCTGAAAGGAAAAAAAAAAATCATAGTATGGCTAATTTCTATTATAGCTGTCGCTGTCACACCATGGATTCAGCTAATCAAACCATTTTTTATTAATAACGTTTAGTTTGAATTCTGGCACTTTTAATTGAGTGAGTATTTTTTCATTATTTTACTGGAGATGGATTGCAATAAATCTGACCACAATGTTTCTGATCCACATTTTTTTAAAAAAATCAGAACCAAAGTGATGACCTGCAAATGTTTTCCTTATTTTTGTTCTATTTATTCCAGAATTCTCCTCCAGTAGGGGCATCGTCACTAAAGGGCAATATATATAATGGTGTTAGTCCTAGGTTCTCACACACAAAAGCTATGAAGAAAATAACATGGAACCATTTTCACAAATAACAGACCAGCCCAGAGCTCTTCTTAAAAAACAATGCAAGGAGACATTATACAGCTGTCCATAATGAAAAAAAGACAATTCATGTGCTTTAATTTTTTTTCCCAGAAACATTTTTCCTTCTGCTAGAATGGAGCATCATTACCCATTATCTGAAGAAGCTAACCCATAGAATTGTTTGGAGCTGATTTTCTGGAGCTCCACCTGAATATCACTATGTGTCCCTGTGATTCATAGTATTCCAGAGAGTAACTTGTCTGGTGACACCAGAGGAGAGCTCTGTATGTCAAAATGAACCTGAGGCCTGATACCATAAATGTCAATATGACAGTGCCAATGAAGCACAGTACAAACAAGCTAATTCTGACATTCATTTTGGAAGCTGTAATTTAATTCAGCCATAAATGATCTTGGTACACATATTAATTTGAAGTTGCTTATAGTTCTCATCTGCTGGCTAAAGCTTGCAAACGATAGGGGAAAGGTCTTGCTATACTGCTAAAAATAAGTAAACAATCTTTTCTGCCAAGAAGACTCCAGTGTAAATGCAGAGTCAGGCAATAATTTTTCAACTAATTTATCCTGCATATGGATACTGGGACACTAGAGATGCTACATAACAATCTCTACCTACACATATTTCCCAAAGGACAAGAGAACTTCAATTGCACCTAGTTTATAATAAATCATTGCCATGGACTGCTGCTAGCCCACATTAGAGAAGCACTGTGGACAGGGTGAGGTCTGGGTGAGCAGTCTGGCTCAGCCTTAGGAGCACAATTTCCACCTGAGGTCAAAGCAAGGCAAGGTCAGAAGCTGGGAAGAGGACTTGAAGAGGACACCCAGAGGATTATTGCAACATTTTACCTGGCAGATGCCACCATATTTATTGATATGAAAATTTCCTCCCTCCATATCAGCCACTGAAACCTCCCTCTGTGAAATTATCTTTATTTTCAGCATAGCTCTATTAAAATATTTTGTTAAAGTCCTTAAGTTTTACTGTATCTAGAATGTACATTCATTGTTCAGGAAAATTTATCGTTAAAGTCAGTAGGATTTTAAAGTAATGAATGATGAGTTTATTCTAGTTGGCTGCTTGGCTGGAACACATTGCATTTTTATGAGTAATTTCTGTGGGCTACATATATGTGTGTCCCTACGTAGGCACAGGTATATATATGTATGTATAAGTATATATATGCATATAGATTTGTACATTTGTGTATATATGTATTTTTGATTTTGATCTTCAAACTTATGATTTTGTATCAAATATTCCTGAAGAGAACACTAAAATCAATTAACAATGGTACATCAAAATGCTAAAAAGGAGGGCCAAAGTAAAGTGGCATTGAATTAGCTTTCAGATAATCCTGAAATGTGTAATAGTGTCAAGCCAAATCTGGAAAGCATTTATAAAATAATGCAGGATATAGTTGAAAAAGAATTTAAAATTTAAAGTTTCCTTATTTGTCTTTTAAAAATAAGATTTTGCAATACATTTCCTACAGTTTTTATCAAATAACCAGAGCCAATATAAATATGAAAGAAAACATGTCAATTTTAAAGGCATCTTTTGAGAGGGAAAATACTTTCAGTTTGGTATTACTTTCACAGAGAAAAACTATATTCAATTCCATCAAGCCCTGTGTTTTCAAATATTTTGTGGTTCTGGCTTAATTCCAGAAAGGGGAAAAACTTCAAAGTTAAGGATCAAGCCTCCAATATGACAAAGTTGGTAAAATTAAGGATGGTAACCTGTTGTGATAAACAGTAGGGAGGGAGTGATCTCTGACCCTGGATTTCCTTCCTTTTGCTCAAATCATAACAAAACTCAAACACAGATGAATTTCTTTTGCTATTGTAATAATATGTCTTTTTATTTTGGAAGCAAATAAAGTCTAGAATGTCTGCATATGTGTGTTGGTAATAAAACATTTCATGCCTCTGAGATAGCTACAAAACCTGACTCCCCTTTCCTGGGGAACTGTTCTGGGTTCTTTGTGCCTACAGTGCCTTGCAAACACCCTTTTCCTCCCTTTGGCCAGCATAGGAATGTGATCATAATATCCAGTGACATGCAGTACAGTAGCATGTTGTTCTACCTCTAACAGGACTGCTATTTGAGAAAAGTCAAGGTCCACACATGGAAACATCATTGACAGGTCCATTGATAGAGCTTGAGAAACTGGACAATGTTTTGGGCTGGAAGCCAATCACCCTTATTACAATTTCCTGTAGCAGGGCAAGTCAGTGGACATGCAGAAAAGATTGAGGGGTGTGTGGAAACCACACATGTTGCTATATCTTATAGGTTAAAAATTTTCCATCTCCATCTGTTCCTTAAAGGAAAAGTTTGTGAGCATATTTTTTCCACAAAAAAAAAAAAGTATCTGCTTTCTGTAGAAAATTAGAGCTATTCATCAAACAGCCAAACACCTGCAAGCCAAGTATTTCTGGCTGAAAGTATTGATCCTCTCAGGAGCATGGGATTTGGTGCTTCATTCCCATGCTCTCTGTGAAGGGCTCACAAGTGCCACATTTTCAGTGTCTTGTGTGGCTGAGCTTGAGTGGGACAGGAGCACACGTGACAGTAGCGCTGCTGTGGAACAGAACTGGGGTGTAGCTGATATCCCACTCCACCCCTTCTGCAAGGCTTGGAGCTGCCTGCAAGCAAGACAGGGCAGTGGGGATGCTCAAGGGCCTTGGGCTGGAAAAAAGCTCCAGAATCAGGTTAAGCAGACAAAGATTCTGATACAGCACTGCAGAGAGCAGTCATATCTTCAAATACCTAAACCTACCATTTGCATGCTTAATGTTTTTTACTGTGAGTTTTCAGATGGAACCTTTGTTATTTTACTGTTATAAAAACAAGTATTTTCAGATTTTCCAATTAAAAACAGATCAATAAGCTCAAATAGTTTATAGAAAGTAATGGGCCTCACTCTGCTCCAGTAAACTCAGAGACGTTAATTGGGCAGTAGATTACCAAGAACAGAAGCTTGGTAATGCTTGAATTTAGATTAGAAAGAAGTGTTTTACAACAATGGTAGCAAAATACTGGCATGGGTTGCCCAGAGAGGTGCTCCATCCCTGGAAACTCTCCAAGTCAGGTTGGATGGGGCTCTGAGCTGCCTGGTTTGTTGGAGAGGTCTCTGTGTATTGCAGAGGGGTGGAATAGATGGCCCTTAAAGGTCCCTTCCAGCCCAAACCACTCTCTGAGTCTATAGATATTTATGAATGGTTTTAACAACTATTTTTTTTTTTTTCAGAATTGCATTTTAGTTTTGGTCAAACTGAGTTTTGAAATGCAGCTGGAAAAATAAAAAAAATACTCAAGAAAAGTATTAATTTTTGCAATCCAAAATATTTAGTTTTACTTCAAAAGAATGACTTAATTTTTGGTTTTGGGCTGTTTCATGTGTTTAAAAGCTTTTTCTCTTTCCTTTTAAAATTTAGAGCAATTTAAAAATGGACAGATTAAAAGCTTGTTTTGAAAGTTTTTGAAAGTGTTTTGGCAGTTCTAAAATGAACCACTCCATTTTGAAAGTACTAAAATGAAGTGCTTTGACATTTGAGATTTTTTTCTGCATTGTTTCATCTGAGACTATTTGCTAAATTCCATTCAAATTCATGAAGAGTCTCACTAACCCTGAAATTCATTTGTGTGGTGTATTTATTATTTGTCAGACAGCAGTGGTTCATTAAACTCTGTATCAGTTCAGCCTTAAATAATGGGAAAGAATTCTTAATCGGGCCATGTTCATATACAACTACCATTCTCACTTCCCTTATAATTGCTGCCCTAAGGGGCACTCGGCTGTGCAGAGCCACATTTACCCCTCTGGGAGAAGAGGTGGCAAGACAGACCTCAGGCCCTGAGCTATTGTTCTTCCTCCTCTCCACCCAGGAGAGTATTCCTGGAGTACCCATATCTCCCCTACAGCTCACACCAGTGTTTCTGTAGCCTCTTGTTGAGCTCTGCCTTCCTCCCATCCAAGGAAAACTCTTTGCTGTTTGTGTCATTTTATGTGGTCACTGCACTTCTTATGCTTTATTACCTTCTTTCCTACCTTTTTGCCATTAGTGAGGGTTGGCCTGTTTATACTCCAACTGGTTTAAATGCTTCTAAAAGCCATTCACCTGCAGTAGCAGTCAACAGCTGGCATGCCAACATTTTTGTCTTTTCTGGCTGCTCAGCTTCAGCAGGGCTATTCACAGCTTGCACTTTGCTAAGGTCGTTGGTATCACCCTTACACATTTCCTGTATTACATGAGGATCAGGTTCCAGTAGTTAACAAGTCGAAAAATATTCCTGGGGGAGGAGAGGAACTAGGTAGATAAGTGTGCTCCACATGTGCACTTTATTTTGGGAATTGCTGCCTTCATCCAAGTGAGAAATAATTGTGATCAAACATGGCTCTGAAACGTGGTACTCCAGATCACACAGAAATGCCTTTGTACTCTGAATGTTCCAGTCCAGCAAGGCCAGAGTATGATGGGATGTCAACTGCTCAGTGCCTGGATCTATAAAAATAGTCTCTGGGTCAAACTTTGCACTACTGTAATTGGGAATAGCTCCAGTAAAATCAGTATCTCCACATTTATTCTCTTGACATTTAAAGCCAGGTTTGGCCCACTATGTGGACAGAGTCCAACTGGAAACTAGGGCCAGCCTGACTTATGGGAGAGGAGATGAGAACTGACTCTCCTGCAGTTAGTTAGCCTCAATCCTCACGTGTCTCCCAGATATAACTGTTCTGACCTCAGTGGAATTGATCCTAATTTATGCCACTGTAACTGAGATTGCAGTGTGCATTGTTTGAATTCTGTTGGGTGCGCCTTCTTCCAGATGGAAACTATTTGCAAACTATAACAGCCTCTTTCCTAACATTGAGGCTTGCCATATCTGAAATTTTTGGTGGGGCAGGGGAGTGGAGAAAAGGATATAATGCCAACTTTGTGCTTAGTGCTACCTAGTGACATTAAATTCTGCAGTGTTCTATTAAATTATCAGTGGCTAATTAGGGGATTAGAACACTTCAGTCCTCTCATCCAAATTACAGAATGTGTTCCAAGATCACTCAAAAGAAGGGAGGAGGTAGCTTTAGGAAATTCAGAATGGCAACGTGGTGATTCTGTGCAGGCTTTTTTCTCATATGGGTGTTCCTGCTAATTGATTCTTCTTGCATGTGCAGCTTCTGTTTTTTCCAGCTTTACATATTACATTGCTGAAGCATTTGATGAATGGGATGCTGTGCAGCTGAAAGATCACACGTATCCAGTGGCTCACTTGGCGTTCTCAGACTGAACTGACTGGCAGAGTTGCAGCTCTCTGACAAGGGGAATGCCTGCTTTTCTCTCACAAGAGCAACTTTTAAGTGCACCATAAAGGCAAGATACTGTACACACATATGAGTGTGTCTGTCTATATACACATGTATTTGGGTGTGGATATATGTGTTTTTGGAGTGAAAAGCCACTCTGCCGTCCTGTAATTGCACTGGAAACGTTCAGTTTGTCAGTGTGACTTTTTTCCCTGTTAGCAATGAAATTTGGCTGGGAGTCCTAGCGTGCCATAAGAAATCAAGCCGTGACCACATTAAGCATGAATGGCAGGGCAAGGTTAAGGCCTGTAACACTATGCTGGGGTGACCTGTTGCAGAGTTACAGGCTGAGGTGTGAGGCTGGGTCACATAACTATTTGCAAGTGAAGCACAAAATGAAGCTCAAAGCTGCTTTGACTATTTACTCTTTCAAGAGGCATTTAGTGAGTATTTTTTATTTTCAAAGCATATTTAGAGAATTTCAGCTGCGGGGCTTGTAGCCAACCTTCAGAAATCAAACCAGAATATTTCTTAATTTTACCTACAAGTACACTCATGGCATATTCCTACTTACTCTACTTTTCAATGATTTGAAAAGCTTTTCTATAAACTCATGTACAAAGAGACTGCTGAGAAGCATCTGACGAAGACAGAGATGTTCAGCTGCAGTGAAATAAAGCACAAAATCACCCAACCAGCAACAGGAGTAGGTTGGTGGGTCTTTCCTGTGATCAGCACTGGAATTGTTTTACAGAGCAGGAAGTTAGACATTCTCTTAAAGAAGAAAAAAGAGAGATGCCAGGGAATTGTTTGCAATACCTATAAACTTTCTGCCCTAAATCTGTCTCCTGAAATACTGAAATGAATGCAGATGGAAAAAAAAACCAAACCCAAAATGGAGACATTTTTTATTTTGAAGCCTTCTTATTAATTTGTCTTTGCCTTTTTTTTTTAATTTTTTGATTTATTTTTCTTACTAAACCCTTTAGCCCAAGAGGTACATTTGAATGCAGCTTGGAAGGGAATTTGGCTCAGTACTGTAAGGCAGGCTAGGGAAGAGCCTGGTCTTAAAATAGACACAAAGCACAGTGCATGAATTGGCTTCTCAGATCCCACTGAAGTACAACCTGAACTTTGCCTTGTAGAGTAGCAAACTTGAAGAGCACAATGAAATCTTTCACCAGAACCAGGGCTGCAAAGGATCTGCTGTGTCCCACCCTTTCACAGCAGCAAACAGGCTCTGGTGAAGGTCCCCCACCTACACCAGCTTTGCCTGTGTCTAAGACTGCACACCTTTGTGTGGAGTCACTTGTGAGTTATCTTTCTGTGAGGAGAGGACAATCTGGCTTTTTCATGCCTCATTCAGTTGGAAAACTATTCAAACTTCATTGGATATCACTAAAGCTGATAGAAAATTTATATTTTGTATTTGTAAGTAGTGACTCACACTTCAGTGTAAGGTCTGACTATGCTTGAGGTGTTTGGAAGGTTTGTACTACAGCCTTAATTAATAATATAATCCAGAGCTGGATGCTGGGCATAAGTATGAGATTGATGGCAGCAGCCACTGCCAAAGGGAAGCACCACAGTTCAGCAGTCTCCTTAGGGAGCTGTGGATTGTCCCAACAGGAAAACCATCTCCTCCTATAGTGCAGAGCATTACAGAATGCCAGTCCTTGCAAGAATTTCCAGATTAGCAGCACCGTGAAGCACTTCCTGCATCCTAGGAAACCTAACAAGCTGAGGATGTAAAAGGTCATTTAAGGACTGCCCCAGCAGAGACCCAACCATATCTGCTTCATTTCTGATTGCCATTAGTCCAGTCTGTTCTTAAAACCCTGGTGAGAAGCTGTGCCTGGGCTGGTTCTTAGCATTACAAAGCTTTTCCTAATAATGTCCAGTACAATTCTTTCTTGCTGCCATATGTGCCATTTTCACTTTTCTGCCAAGCTAATTCCTTCATTTTATACCAACCTTTTCTTTGTATGCGGACTGCTATCCCAGGTATCTCTTTTTCACACTAATTATCTCTAATTATTCAATCTTACCTTTTAAGCTGTGTTTTCTAGATTTCTGGTTCTTCTCAGAGCAATCTGGTTCTTCTAACAGCAATCTGGCCTGTCATTTAACAACTTTCTGGATTTCACGTGCTCAACCTGGAGCCTGGAACTTTAGATGAAGCCTTACCCTGATTATGGGCTACTATGGCTTTTTCAGTCCCTCTTGCAGGGCTGCTTTCACCAGACGTGCCAGTGACTGCTTTCAACATTTAATTGTAAGTAGCTGAGGCTACTTATAATTAAATTAATTACTTGATATAATTAAATTAATTACTTGAGGCTGAACTGATGCTAAGAGAAGCCAGACACTCATCTGGCGTAAAATTGATGCAGTGTCTCAATGTCTCTAAATACTGACTTACATTATCAGAGCACAGTGAACAGGATAACAAATGCCCTGGCATGACAACACCTGAGTCTCCTGAGCTGTTTCTCTACAGGTGCTGCTTCTGCCAGCTGCATCTCTGTCTCAGTCTGAAGCTGCTTCACTGTTGTGATGGACATAAACCCCCAGTGCATGAATGATGCATGTTTGCATAATTAATACCAATTGTTTAACCAGAAGCATTTGCTGCATGAAGTGTTAAAATCATATTGCATCCAGAAAAAAACACTGCTGTGTTTTTCTGGTCTATGGATAGTAGTGTTTAAAACTCTAATCAAAATATTATAATTAATGATATAAATTCTGTTAAAATGTACAAGCAGTGTGTTATATTCAAAATGCCATCAGCTCTGATCAACTACAAAATTGAGGAACATGTTTGACTGATTTAAGGCATCACAAAGTGATCATAATGTTATTGCAATTAACAATGTAATTAAGATTTACAGGTTGCATAATTCATTTACATGTATAACAATTGAAGTTTAATTAATAAAACTTAAGTGTGCCAATATTTTCAGAATCAAAAATGTTTCAACAATGAAATTTGGATAATAACTTTTTCCTTTCTTACCATTCATTGATGGATTGTTATTCTGCTTCCATATTTTCAGATTTCCAGATATTCTTTTTGGTTGTACTTTGCTGTAAGGGAAAAGAATGTAGTTTTTAAAAATTGCAGATATTTAGCTGATAAACCATATTATTCCATTTCAAATTGTTCTTCTTTTACCCACAGTGGCCATTGTACTTGCTGCTGCATGTTCTTATCTGCATTTTGGCCATATATTAATTTAAGTCATTGTGTAGTAGAAAGAGCATGTTATATGCATGGTTTTCTAAGATTGAACAGATTTGGAGACAGCTGTAGTCTCATTTATGACAGTGTAACTTAGTTGGAGGCTCAGCTGAAGCCTTTCAAAATGGAATGGATCAAGCAATAATTCTTATTAGAGTATGTTTTACTAAAATGAGGCAACACCCTTTTCTCTTGCTATTACTGAACACGTAGCATTAGCATGAAGCAGTAGAACTCCATTGTTTTAATGACTTTCCAGTCTTATTTAATTGCATGGGTAGATCCCGTACCTTGATGTTGTGATGAAAGAAGACAGATTTGATAGATACTTACTCACAAGGGAGGTTAAAGGGCTTAAAATGTGGTCCCTGTCTGAGAGGTGACAGGGCAGATCCATGTAATCAGAACAGATAAGAGAGGGCAGTGATTATTGTAACTGCTGCATGGTCTCTCCTACTGCTGTACCCAAAGTCCTTCAGTTAGAATCACTCTTCCGAGCACTGCTACTGCTTTGCACTGGCTTTGTTGCTAATACTCAATGCAGGAAAACAACACTGCAGGTGTCTTTCAATTTACTCATTGTCATGGAACTTCTGCAGGTCACACCTCACTGTGTGAGCAGTCTGAGGAACTGCTGGGAAAATAGATATTTTTATTTTTATTGTTGAAGGGGTCCTTAATGCATAAAAGGACACAGCTTACAGGATTGGGCTGTCAGACAGCAGCTCATGACTTGCATTATGTTATAGTGACAATGTCTTGGCAAATAAGACACTGACAAATTGTTTTGCAATGAAAACATAAACTATACAGAATATTGTGCAAGGCAGACAGTATAAGGAGACACCCTCCAGTCTCCAAGGACTTCCTTTTTTTATGGCTTACCATATTTTTTCTAATATCTGTGCTGATGCAGTGTCTCATTTGGGAAGTGGGATTTTTTTCCCTTCTGCCTCATGCAAAGCACCCATCAAGACCCTGAGCCAAACACCACTTGTGTTTGTCAGCTGATGCAAAGGGAGCCCAGACTGCTTTGTTACAGAGGCCAGGAGCTTTTGTGGGGCTAACACCAGGGACTGAAAGATTCTAGGTGTTCAAAGAGGTAGTTCAAGGAAGATTCAGGTTAGACCTTAGGTCTTCAGAAGTACAGGTGGGTACCTTTTATCTGGATGTTATGGAATACTCCTCCTGGTCTTAACAAAAGCCTAAAATTAAGAGTTATAGATAAAATAAAATCTCCTACAAAACCTCACCATCATTAAGTTAAAAGTAAAGGCAACATGTAAATTTTATTCACTGCTGAGAATCCAGAGGGTCTCTTACAGGCCCTCCCTCTACTGCTTTTGAGGTCAGATCTTGAACTGGTGCTGAATTCCTCACTTGTGAGTGGGCTCAACATAGTTCGTTGGTACTGATTTGTCTTTGCCTCCCTTTGGTAGGAGTGGGGATCTAATTACTTTACAGTCCTGATAATCAACAATGCTCTGTCAATCTTGTGTTTATCAAAATTTCAGTGATGTTTTAAAATATGCTTAGAGATAGATTAAAAACACTAATTATGAGATATGGCTGAGTTTCAGAGTTCAGCCATTCTGGAAAGATGTTTGTAAACAGATTAGGTATGTGGCACCAGTTTAATGTGCAGAGACAGAAGAATTTTTTTGATTTCTGTCTTTCAAAAACAAGCAGAAAACTGGGAAAATATATTTTCTTTAGCTTGTTAAAATCTGTAATTAAATAAGCTTTCCACTAAGGTGACCTATGGAAAATACTGAGTCCAAAGGAAAAAAAAATCTAGAAAGGTCTAAATTAGTGAAAAGGGAGATAAAGATGAAAGGAGTCTACAAATAAATATTATAATAGAAATCACAGTAACATAACACTATCCTTTCTGTCATATCTTTATGCTCTAATACTTCTGTGGCCCCCTCTTTGATGAGTTCTTCAGTATTCCCTGCTGCAATAAGCAGTCCCTGTGGGACTGGTCTCTCCCAAGACACCCAGTGTGGATTGTTCCCTAACTACTGATTTCTATCATTTCTATGGCACAAAGGATCCTGTGTTTTGACAGGGAAGTCCTTATAACTCTAAAAATGAATTAAGTATTCATCCAATCATAAAATGACATCATGAAAGCAGCTCTTTCGCTGATGTGGTGACTATAGAGTTGCTTGACATTATTCTGCTAACACAATTTGACTGGATATATGTTTTGACATCCAGACAACAGGGACACTGATGGAAACTGATGGACCCAATGTCAAAAGAAGAAAAGTTGGCTGCAGGAGGACACCCAGAAAATTAATAGGTGGATTGCAAAAAAACTCTTTCCCAAAGGGCAAAGTCAATAAAGTGAGGACTGAATAAAACCCCTAAAAAACTGAAAGAAAAGGCACAGACAAAGCAATTCTTATAAAAATAGCAATGACATACTGAGGAGAATTTTGGAGCTCAGTAAATGCAGGCTGAGAAATAGTTAATTTGAACCTGAGTAGTTGACATTCAATATTCATATTTTTGTCTCTGCCACAGCCTCCAAAAATAACTATGTTGATAGTGTAGAGAACCTCCTTATTAAGCATCCTTTATCTTGTTCACACTTTTTGTCTTTTCCTTAATTTCCACCATAAATATGTTCCAGAATGCTGTGAACAAAATGCCATCCAGAGGAGAACTAGCATTTTTAGTTTTTCAGTTTAGAAGCCAAGACCTTTTCTTCCATCAAGAGCCTTTGTAAGCAGTTCTGCTTGCACATTTATAAAGTGCATTTATATATAATATTCAAAATCTCTAAGATTACAAAATTTTTCAGTTTTGGACTCAGCCAGAAACATACTTCTTCACATATTTTGCCCATTCTGAACTGAGCATTTGTATCTATCATAGATTGGTCACTTTCCCCTGTCATCGAGTGACATATGTCATAGGTAAAGGACTTGTGACAGGGCTCAAGGCAGCACTGTGTTAAATAATGCAGTGCCAAAAATCCAGTATTTGCACAGTCAACAAACTCCTCTTCTCCAAGTAAATGATAACATTTACATATTTTGCCTCCTGCTGACATCATGTCTCCCTTTGCACTGACTCCAGTGCAAAGACTATTTCTAAAGCCAGTCAGAGAGACTTCATTATCCTGATTTTTTAGAGTAGTCTCTGAAGTCCCTGAGCAGCAGATTTTGGAAACTGTGAGACTGGTATAGCTAATACAATTATATATTTACTGTTCTCTTCTTCTGTAGGCCTCCAGTGATGGCCACTGTGTCATACAGGATACATATTTGCAAAATGCTCCTTTGACTTGCTCTAGAATGGCCATTCCTATTGTTCTGTGCAAACAATCAGACCAAACCAAAGCAACTCTACAAAGAAGCCTCAGTCAGTCATCCAAAATACTAAATAATAAGAAACAATTCTATTACCAAGAAATTATTCTCAGATCAAAATCCTGAAAATCAATAAAAAGGAAAAAATAAGTTTTGTGAGAGTAACTTGGCTTCATTTTCTGTAGTTCTTGGCTAGAACATTTTCATTGATAGAGTTGCTAAGTGCATTCTATTTACAAATATAAACACTTGATTTTGATCAGCAAAAATGCATCAGTGCACTTGAACAGTGTCAATGATGACATAATTACACTCACAATTTCCTCTCTGTAATGATTTTTAAATGTCAGCAGTCATTTTTTGTCTAATTGTAGCCTGCATGTCAGCACTTCCTCTTAAAACAGCATGTTCCTCTCTGCTGGAATTTCACACCTCTCCACTCACTCACTCACTTCACCAGTGAAGATAATGAAGATGATAAAGGGCTCCAGAGTATTTTCACTCCTATGCTGCTTTACCATTTAATATCAAGCAGACAGAATGAGGACCTTTTTTTTTTTTTACAGTAGAGAGTTTGATCAGTAAAACTATAAATAATTATTTGATTTTAATGAACATATCAAAAAGTAGTTTTCATTTTTCAGACCCCCTGCTGGTGCTTTGCTAATAACCTGTTAAAAAGCTGGGGCTGGTGATAAAAACATTCTCACACATGGAGACCTGATCTTACTCACTGGAGGAGAAGGCTGACCCTGCAGTGCCAGCCCTTGATCATTTCATTGTTAGCACAGTGCAAAGCAGGTGAGCTTGCTCTTCAAAGGCAGCCTAGAATTGAGATTATGACCTAGAAAGTGACATTTCAAATGCTGTTTTGCACAGCTCCAGGCACCAGAGCCCACAGCATAACAGACAGGAGCTCCTCAGAGCTCTCTTCCTCCTCCCACAGACCACACCATCAAGTGAATGGAAGTGGATCTCCTGTGCAACCAACTGGAAACTCTGCACTGGGGTTAGCAGCAAATATTTTCCACCCATCTGAACATACCCTGCAATTGGAAACAGGGGCCAAGAAGGCCTCCTTCAATCCAATTTGTTGAGTTCATCTTCAGCTCTCTGATGATTAACTGTAGGGTTTAGGAGATAAAGCTTATAATTTACTGGTCCATTTAGTATCAGAACAGGTGAACAGACAGAAAAAACTCACACTGTGAAATCAAATAATGAAATAAGGTTGAGATGGCTGATTAAAAAAAATAGGATTGAGTATGTCTAATTATAAATACACACATATAATGACATATCAGCTAGTTATTTGTCTGAACAGGTCCCTGAAAGCTAGAAGAATGGGAAATGAATAAATTGAATAAACACAGGTGAGGGGGTGTGAGTGTGTTTTCTATAGCCCATGATAACATTCTTTATGTCCCTCTGTGACATTGCCATCAGATGTGACTCCTACATACCCAAATGTCTGTGTACACACAGGTGTGTGGGGACTGTGCACAGATTAGTACAACACAAGGGCAAACCTGGCTCTCTTTGTGGTTCATTCTGCATTTTGTACCCTACACTTTGAACTTTCTCTTTTGGCCAAATTGGTGCCTCAGAAATCTTCTGGAGCTCTTGGAAAAGGCAGGATTTTTTTAAACAACTGCATCCTATGCACTTGTGAGATGTGTGGATGCATAGAGACAATCTGAAAAGAGATGATTCTGCACCCCACTGCAGAGGGATGTCCCCAGGGAAACAAAGCAAACCAAAGACACCAATCAAGAGCAAAACAAACCGGTCTTTGAGTACTCCTAGGAGAATATGAGTGCTCAAGACAGAGCAAGACCTGCCATGGGGAACAGAGTGTGTGCAGCTAGCTTGCCTCTGCCCACTATTGAGAGAACTGGAGTCAAAATCTAAAAGCTGAAAGACTATGTATAAGATTAACCTAAAACACAGAGACACTGCACTAGAACTTTCTTTTGCCCCTACCCCTTTCTTTCCCAATTTTATACCAAAGAGAAAAGTAGACAATATTTAAATGAGTTTTAAATTGGGTGTAATATGCTCTTAGGCATACTGGAGTGTTACCACAAAGCTACCTGTCAGCAGGCTCCACTTCTGTGCGCTGCACCACAGAAATTATCAACATCTCTCTGCCAGGTTGCTCAGCTAAAGGTAAATTGAGAAAAGGGAAAGCAAGGTGAGAGCCATTTCTGGAGTCTTCTGCAGATCCAGGTGGCTTGCTGGAGGCCGTGAAAAGGTTTTTCTTAAGGCTAATAAGGTAAAAAGGCTACTCTGACGAGCAGGTTCTTCTGCTTCCATAGAAAAGCAAAAAGCATTTATCAGTCAGTTTGTTTCTTTGAGACTGACAATCAAACCCCACACAGGGCTGAGATAATGCTCAATTGCTCTGGACAGGAGGTGATTTTTGTATGCTTGGGTTTTTGTTGGGTTTTGGTTCTGTTTTGTTTGGTTTGTTTTGGGGTTTGGGTTTTTTTCAGTTTTCTTTCTTTTTACTTTATTGCAGAGTCTCTCTTTCAAATGGAGCTGAAACCCCAGCTCTTTAATGAACTAAAAAAGGTAAATTGCATATTACACCCATCCACCCCCAACATTTGAACATGAGGAAATTTACAAAAGAAAAGGGGAAATGGAGTTTTATGTTTCAATGGACCAAAGGTATTGGAATATTGATGTTACACATAGGAATTGAGCTTATGTTTTACATTACAGTCAGGCATTCCTGTAACTTCAGACAAATAAATAAAGGCTGCTGAGAGAATGACACGCTGTTCAGTTAGCGTCTAACAGAGGTAGGTTTGGCCTGCAGGAGCACAGAAACATTCCCCATACTACCTGAAACAGGTTTATAGCCTTGCAAAAGAAGACTGACACGGATTGTGCAGCTTGGCAGATTATTCATGACTCAGTCACTGCATACAGAGCATTGGCTTCTGCTACATCTGAGGGTGCTTGACATCTCTTAAAGTCATGCCAAAAGTACTGCAAGTTGGCCTCTCAGAAAACAAGGCACATTAAGTTAGAGACCATGTCTGAAAACTTCAGTTGATTTGCTTCACGTGAACTTGAATTGAACCTCAACCTTACAAAACAAGGCATATTAAAACATAAAGACAGCTGAATGGTAACCATGACAACACTACTTCCAAAAAACCCATAGGTATAGCCAACATTTATATATATATACTGCAAGGGATAATGCATTCTTTTGTACACTTATTAATACCAGCTCATGCTGTGTGCATGGCTTTTCTTCAGCAAAACTCTAAGTTACACAGGAATTTCCAGATATTAATTTACCTTTGATGTTTTTTGCTACTCTGATAAGGCCCATGCAAAATGAAACTAGTCAAAATGTTCCAAGTTTTAGGCTTGGGTGCAATATGGTCTCAAAATATTGCTTCAATTTTAAAAAAGTCTGTCTTGTGGCAAAATCTGTGCTGCAACTATGTGCGGCATTCCACTGAGCCATAATATTAGTTATAACATTTTAATTTCTTTTATATCTTAATTGTGACAAAAAGAGTGACTTTTTTATTGCTGTATTTTAGGAAGATGAATGCAAATTTTTTGAATAGATTATTATGTTAAATGAACCTTTATTCCATCTAGATGTCTGCTATTTTTCAGTCTTTGAACTTAAGGACGATTCTTTAATTTGGGCTTTTGTCAGTACTGATGTAAAGGTCTTTATGTCTCATTTTTATAACCCATTTCATCCCAAATGTGGTGCATTTTTAATCCCCTTTTCTCTAGCTAAATAGAGGAATACAGGCCTTTCCATCAGTTTGGAGAGGAATATGTTTAGTTTATTTTAAAATACCCTGCCAAGGGACATTTTCCTAAATGAGTATTTTCTAATCTGTAATTAGTATCACAAATACTTTTGCTGCCTGCACATTCTTCCAGTAAAAGGTTGTATAGAGCAGCCACTGCATTCTGCATGTCCTGTGGGACTGTGTGAGGAGCTACACACTCCCCTTTCACACAGTGAACAAAAGCTAAATTCCTGCCTTCTTTTATTTCTTTCTTTTCCTTAGGTCTGAAATGCTAAAACTATAAGTGCAATCCTGAGGGCTGAATACTGATGCTCAGACCTTCTTGGGTGGTATCAGGGTAAGGCTTGATGCAGGTCTGTGATTCATCTGCCATCTCTTCTTTTGCAATTACATTGCTTTTCTGACCTGTTATATATTTACTTCATAGCATAGATACAGTGCTTACTACTTCTTTGGGGACATAATGAATTGCAAACACAATGTCCTTTGCCCCAACAAGACTAGGGTATAAATAGTTCTGTTGCTATCAGCCAGGAGCACTACACATATGTAATTCCTTATGTATTTTTTTATGTGTATATATTTTAATAGATATATAAGATGTAGAAAATTGACAATGTCCTAACTTAACCCATTAACAAGTAGGGCATATGTCTGGCATCAGCCACTTCTATTACACAGCACACAGAAGCAATAGCAAAGGCAGCCTTAGAGTGCAAAAGTCTCTACTGTTGTACTATTAATGCATATCATTCTTAGCTCATCTGTGACAACATGTGTTAAAGTTTTGCTAACTAGAACTGCAATCATACCTTTTAATCCACTCTGTGCTTTGGAAGTGGGACCTGGCTTGCATCTGGGCTGTCCTCAATAGCTGTGCCTGCAGCCTCAGAACAGTGATTCCAGTGAGGTTTATCCATCCTGCAGGGAGAAACCTTAAATATAACCCAGTGTTTAATTTGTCTTGACTTTCCCTGTTGGCTTCTCCCAGGCTAAAGCCAGAGTGTAAGCTGACACATAAGGAGTATGGATAAAATGGGTGCCAGGATTTGACTGTAAACTGCTTCCCAAATTAGCACAATGGTATAGTTACTGTTAAAACAAATTGCTCAGTGTTGTAAAGAGACCTCCAAAAGTTGAATTCGTAAAGCTCTGATGGTCTTAAGCACAGGGATCTACTTCTTGCCTTTTCAAAATACAGAGCTTGAGAATAAAAACGTTCATTGCCCTTTCTGCTTGCCTATTTCAGGGTTCGTGTAGTTTATATTTAATTAATTCTCAGATAAAAGATCTGGTATGTAAGCACCAGTTATGAGTGACAGCTGAAGTGATGGTGGCATCCACCTCCTGTTGAAATTTTTTGGCCTAAGCTTTCCTTAGTGTGTGCAAACTTGTTCTCCTCTAAGGAGAGCAGGAATATGTGATCCAAAACATCTCATCTCCATCTGGATGTTCCCCTCCTTTCTTCATCCAGCTCTTATTGCATGAATGCTACTGCATGAAAGGTACCACGAGACAGTGCTAAGGGCACAAATGAAACTCATTAATTGTTCTAGGAATGAGAAATTAAAGAGCAGTGACACCCTGAAAACATTAAGTACAGAAGAATTACGGCATGAGCAACAAAATCTGTCGATCCTCTTGGTGCAACCCTCTTCTGGTTTCTCATTCATCCTGGATGCTGCTCTGAGGACATGAGCTCCCACCATGGCAGCCATGCCCACTGCTGGCACCATGTCCTCTGCCATCAGCTTCTGTGACCAATGCCCACTCAGGCTGCTGGGCAGGCAGAAGTCCAGCCTGGAATCAGCTGTAGCACTGCTGTGTCTTTGGGTGTCACCAGCACTGAATGAAATGGCAAGCATGGCACTTCCATGGCTATCCAGTGCCATCCTTTGTTCTTTAATGCATTTGACTAAGAAAACTCAACAGTGAGAGCAAGGTTAGCTGGGACTGATGTTGCTGTGATCTTTAGTGAAATGGGGTTTGTAGCTGCTGATGCTCCCTCTCTCCTCCCAGGCAAGATAACAGCACCCCACTGCAGACCCTGTGCTGAGCTGCCAGCCCAGCTGTGTGGGGCATTGCCATGCAAGGCTCTGTGCTGGGCTGTGCTGCTCACCAACCTGTCTGGGACCTGCTCCATCTGGGCTTGTGCAAAAATCCCACATCACTGCAGGAAGATTTCAATTCCAGTTTGTAGAGAATATGGAGGAATGTTCTGTCTCACAGTCTGCTGTGAGAATTACTGCTTCCCCAAATGATTCAGGTCTTTAGGAGACAATCAACAAACTGACTTATTTCTCCTGTAAACAGGAAAAACACATCCCTTACTGCTGCAGAGGTTCCTAAATGAGGCACAGCTGGATGGCTGCCAGTAAAGCCTTAGTATAGCAGTTGGCTGGGGAGCAAGGATGCCCTGGCAACCACATGTTTGTTAGTGAGGATGCTGCATAACTTTTAACAAATGGTTGTGAGCTAAGGCTGGGGGTGGGGTGTGGTGAGGAGGAAGGTCTGCTTCCCAGAGATTTACACAGGAGCTGCTGCAGAGAAGGTAAGCACTCTCCATGGAAAGCAGTGCTGGAACAATGGAACCTTAGATGTTTAAGGCTAAAGAGCCTTCATTTTGCAGGTGTACTTAACTCTTTCTTATATCTGCTTGAAGCTACAAATGTGACAAGGTGTCTCATCATCACAGGGCAGATCCAAGGGAAGATTACACAGACTCCTTTTGAAAATAACAAAAATTAAAGCTTACAGAGAAAAAGGGTGAAAAAGCTGGCATATGAACTGTGATTGGTTTGGGCTGCACTAACATATGCTTGATCCCTGATTTACTTTTGTAGCTTCAATCTCTTCCGTTGTGTAAGTAAGTGTGCATCAGTACACTACTAGTTAAAGAATAGTTATAATTTTGACATAGGTACTGATGGTTTTTCTTGCTCTCCTAAAAAGCTAGGTCAGGTCCCTTCTTGTATACTGAGAAAGAAAGGTAAGTTCTTTTCAGATAATTGCTACACATCATTTGTTGACTTCAGCCTGGGGCAAAGATCTCCAGCATAAAGATTTTCATGCTTTCATAAATCTAAACTTCTGAGGAAGACAATAGTGCAAAGACAAGTCTCTTAAATAAATCTGTAGGGTACCATAACAGTTGCAGCCATTAAGTGAGGCCTTACAAGCATGTTAATTAATTCTGTCTACTAATGACAGCCCAAAGCCTACAGCAGCTTTTTGTGAGGGCAGGTGAGTTCTGGTTGGTGACCTTACCCAAGTATTCAGAGGGTGGTTCCTCTTCCAAACCTTTGTACAACAGGAATGATCACTGCTGAGGAACAGATGTGTTTAACGTCACAGAAAGCTCCAGTTCATTGAGCTGGGGAGCAAACTCAGGGGCATATCTCATGTATTTCACAAAGATGGTGTAAATCTTATTATTTGATGGTATTAGTTAATATTTACAAAGTATTTTAAATTCCCAGAGAAATCATTATGAACTTGTTGTAGACATTATTGTTCCTATTACTGTCAGGAACAATATTATGTTTTATAATCTACACAAATGCTAATATTGTTTTGTTTCTTAAGAGTACTTATGTGCTTTATAAAATGTCATTTATTGTTCTCTGTGTCCTCTGATCCACAGCAACTTCATAATGATATGAAACATTGACATTTGGGGATTGGTTTTTACTGTCTTTTTTCATACAGACTTCCATGGAGGATTTGCTAATGGTGTGTGTGTGTGTTTGAATTAAACCCTTTAATGCTAGGGGAGGAGATCAGTTTGACACGGAATTCAACAGCTGTTGTTTCTTTAAAGAGAAAAGGCCTGCTGGATTTAAGTGTGTTTGAGTATATCTGGTTGACTGAACAGTTTCCTCAAGGAAGTATTCATTCAGTCAATGTCCAGAAGGGTTAAGAAAACAGAAACTCATCATGTTACTGAGTTGTTGTTATGTACGTTGCCAAGGGAACTGTAGCTGGAATGTTTAAATGTGTTGTTTCTCCCCAAACCCACAGGAGTAGAGCTTGAGTGTCTTGGTGTGCCCTAATCCTCACAATTAGTTTCTGTGTGGTGGGGGGGCTTATGGGGCTGATCGGACTAAATACTTGTAGTGACACTGGGTAACATTCCCACCATGCTGGACAGAGTGACTTTAGCATCATGCCCATCACTTAGGAGAATCACAACCAAAAGCAGAAAAGGGAGTATATTAAAAGCCTCCCTTTTTGCTTCTCCCTGAACCCTGTGGATTTCTCTTAGTAATGTATATTATAGAAATTAATGATCTCCAAGGAGATCTCCTTAAGATTTTGATAAGAGAAATCATTGATTGATCTTGACTCAAATCTTTAGTATCAGTTTTGTTTTGTCTCATATGCCATTTAATTTGCTTCATTGGTGGGAGGAACCTTTGCTGCAAATGACCATTTCAACAGAAGAGGCAAATTTTAGCCTTGTTTCCATGTAAAGGCCAGGCTCTTGCACTGCAGAAAATCTAATCAAGCACTTCTTATCGCCAGATAATTGCTGTAAGAAAAATACCTAAATGTCTCTGTAGAGGTCAATTGTGCCATAGATATTTGGCACAACAACCTTTCCAAAGCCTTCCATTGGGCCATCACTCCCAAATATTTAGCCTATTCTACCACCATGGTTTTCTCATGGCTGGTTGGCAGCACTCAGTTGAGTCAAAAGTAGCTGAGCAGCACTCCATCCCTTGTTGAGTCAAACACTTTGCCAAGCCCACACTTTGACTGATTTATGTATTTCTTCTGGTATGTGGGAGGATTTGCATTCAGGGGAATGTTTTCATTTTTATGCTTGTACCCCCTCCTATCACTCAACATAAGGTTTTTAATATGGTCCAAGATAATTCTGTCTTAAGATTCTTTGAACCAAGTGTAGTTGTATCAGATGTGGAAAACACAGATTACCTTCTCCTTGCAGCTGCCCCTCAAGTGCAAAAGCTCACTGCTTTCCCAAGGCACATTCTCTGAACACCTGATAATTCTTATTGCCGCCTAAGCTGATCCGTGTTGGGGCAGATTACACACCTTTTATTTATCCACAGGATGTGTACACATCCTGTTGTGATGTTCCTTTTTTTTTTTTTTTTTTTTTCCCTCAGTATGAAACCATTGGTCTACAGGCCAAGGGGCCTTTCTGAATCCAGATAAAACAGTGAGTTTTAGGCTTTGTCATGTCCTGGGGTTCTCATCCTCCAGTTGTCCACACTGAGAGTCTCCTGAACTGAAAAACTTTGAGGAAGATCGGTTCACATTCAGGTCTTGCACCAGTTGATTTCAAAATTCTTTCAAGATCTTAGATTTATAAAAGTTAGGAAAGCAGACACAGTGATAGTAGAATCCTGGGGAGTCAATGCTTCCCTCAGTGCTCAGAGGCCAAGTGTCCAATTTCCACGAGGATCAGAATGAGAGGACAGTGCTAAAGCTTGGGAATGCTGACACCACACATTTCCCAGCTGTGATGAAACCTTGTGATTTAAAATAAAAGAACAAAGAAATAAAAGCCAAAGCTTGATCAGTGATTTCTCTGTCTCTTTTACTCCATGAATTTTGATATTGTGATGCAAAGAGGGACAACTCACAAGCATTTTTTTTTTTTTTTGTTTATTCTACTACCTATGTTTCTGCTTTCTGAAACTCCTGTTTCAAACAAGTTAGTTTGACCAGGCATTTCTGCACAGTTCTGAAAGTTTTATGTAGGGCAGCACTGAGGTGCATTGGCAGGAGCTGAAGGTGGTTTTCCTACAACCTTGTTGGCTGAGGTTTGTATTTCATCACCCAGATATACCTATATTTTTATTTAAAATAGTCTCTTAGAAGTCTCTTTAAGTATTCTCAAGTCTTGTAAACTGAATGCAAAACAGAAGTTACAAGATGAGCTGAGTTCACTATGTAAAAGACAAAGAAGCCATTAAAAACCCATAAAAAAACAACATAATCAAAGCCCTGCACTCCTCAGAAGAGTTAATCCTGCAATGGCTGCTAAACTCCAGAGCCCTAATGATGGGGCACTCCTTGCCTCTTCCTTTGCCATTTGCAACCACAAGGTGAGGATGAGCAAAAATCTGACTTTTTCCTTTTATTAGGTGCGGGAAGCTTTTGTTTTGGCAGTGCTTCTTTTTGTCATTCATAGACTTTGTTTTTCCTCTTGATTTTTTTGGGCACTTTTTATTTCCTGTCAGAGTGTGGAGGAGAAAGCTGTTCTAGTCTGTAAGTTATGCACCCCTTACAGTGCCCCTTAGTTACACAGCACAAGGAAAAGAGAAACAGAATCCATGGCACCATGCAGAAATGCTGCACTATATAGTTTGCCCTGGTTAAACATTTCCAGAAAGGGAATAACACAACACTGTGGAGCTCCTGAATGTCTTTGGCCCTTGTGCTGCAGAGGTGAAGGCATTTAGGGTTAAACTGAAATGGTGCTGGATTCTAGGCAAATTGATTTTCAGATCTGAGCTGCAAAGATCAGAATTATTTCCTTTTCATATTACCACAACACTATCTCCTCCATACCTGAAATAAGTGGCAGCTGGAGCCTTGAAAAGCAATACGCAACAGCTGTGTGAGAATTTAATTTGATATAGCCACATGCCCCCATCTTCAGCTGCCTTTTTTGATCTTTCTTCAAACAACTTACAATATGTACAAAATAATGCTGAAAATCTTGTATGTACAGATTTTTTGGTAGTATGTAATTCTGTAATTTTTTGCCTTGTCTTCTCCACGTGCAGGAAGATCTCAAACTGGAAAAGAAAGAATGGTTATTTACATTTGCAAAGCCTACAAGAGGGAAGAGTTGCATTTTTGGATTGAGTTTGGGATGGTCTTTCTTCAGCACTTATCTTGTAATTCACATTATCTTGCTCTAAAACGTTTTGCTTAGGGAACGTGAGTACTGAATCTAATCAGATCCTTATAGCTGCTGGGTTTTTCTGAATTCTCCCTCCGTGCATTCATGGCTAGTGGTGCCCAATGACAGAATGGACCAAACCATTAGATTAAAAAGCTGCTTACATGAAATTTGAATGTGCACTTGTAGTTTGTGAATCTTGTGTCAGCTGCTTCTTCTTTGCTAATATTTGAACCTTGCACATTCCTACATTCCTATGCATATGCTTTAAAGATGCAAGATCAAACCCATTATCTGTTTATACTTATGCTTGTCCTTAAAGCATGTAGACTTTACAGCTGCAAGGACTGCTCAAAGTTAACTTTGTCTATGAGAGGCTGAGTCCATGCAAAAGGCTGGATGGTAGAGCAGGTTCTGGTTGTGCTCAAAATCAACTGCAAGTGGGAGACAACAGGATTTTAACAATGTAAACAAGAAAAAAAGAGTACCCATTAAAAGGGTACATTGGAATTACATGGTAGCTGAGAACAACTTTCCACAGCAAATGTACTATTAACAGAAAAGCTCTTTCTGGTTTGTACATAATACCGTTGTAAACTCTGAATTATGGTTTATGTGCTGTTCTACCTATTAATATTTTTCTATTATGTTCAATTAATTAGTTATTGGAAAAACACTGAGGCCAGCAGTCATACAATGACTCAAACCTTTCAGCACAGTCAGATGCTGGGGATGCTGGCACACATCTGCCTTTTCTGCCAAGGGAACAGCAGCAGCCCCAGCAGAACCATAGCCTTTGGTTAGCCCCTGCATTTTTACACTAGGATTTGTTCAGTTGATATAAAATGGTAACTCAGGCAGTCCAAGTCAACACTACAGGGGGCCTCTATAGGGGAAAACACAGCCCCTAAACAGGATTCCAGAGTCCCCCCCCTCAGGTTCCAAGAATGTGGTTTTAACCATCCCTAAGACGAACCCCCCACCAACTTTTACAGAGGCCACCCTCTGCTCACAAAACCTAGTCCCTTCCCTGAAGGCATTCAGGATCCTTTGAAATGGAAAATTTATGCTGTACTGAAATAGTTCATACTATAATAAACAACTAGTGCCATCATTCTGCTGGTATTCAGAGCGCAGTTAAACCTGAACCTCATGTGAGGACTCCATTTGGGGTGGAAGGTGGTGTTGTGGGGAGCACAGGCAGCTCACCCCAAGATTCTTTCCTGCTGCAGCATGTTTTAAGGCTTGCACTCCCTGCCCCTGCAGTGAACAGCCCCCTTCTCCCTCCCCACATGTACACGAGGCACGGGGGCTTGTGGGGGATTATATAACTTACAGGTCAATTTGTTGTTTGGGCAGAAGAATGTAGTATGTTGGCCGAAGCTGTTTGTTTGCTTAAGTTCTCAGAGTTCAATGAGGTCATTTTCTCATCTTCCCTGTGTTTTCTGTATTTTCCACAGACCTGCCAGCCTCAAACAACACCCTCTTTCTTCGCATTAGAAATGGAAACACGTCCTCTGCAGGAATTTTCCACTTAATAGCTCCTGCTTTCCTACCGGGGGCCTCAGTGCACCACCACTGCAATGCTGTATTTCTTTCCACTGCAGTTTGACATTTTGCAGCCAGAACAACGAACGGCATTCACTCCATCCTGATTTTTGAAAAACATATCTCTATAGGCCCACAGAACGCACCCAGTGCAGCAATCACCAGGGGAAAATGGCTAAGGTATTTAAACATCATTACATGTCACTGAGACTATGACATTGTCTGGTAAAAATGCTCTTTTACACAGTTGCTTTTCCTTACTCCCCGTTCCTCCCCCCTCCAACCCTTTATAGACACACACACAGAGACACCAAACCTCTGCCCTGCTCTCCCACCACCAGCCACTCTCTTGTTCTACTCTCGGTTGTAATTGTTTGCCTTTGTCAATTGTTTCCTTCGCACAATATTTGCAAACTGTGTATCAGGTCCTGACACTGTGAGGAGCAGAAAAGCCCATTGCAGATAATCTGAGTAGTAAACAAGGAGCCTGCTTTAAAATGCGCCGAGTGACCTGTCTGAAGGCAGCAATATTTGCAGATTGTTTACTGCTGAGATGCAGTGATGTCGCTGAAATGCAGCAGCTTGAAGATTGGAGCAAAATGGGATCTCACACACTTGGTCAAGCACAACCTGTAATTTTTTATTTATTGTTTCTCTTCTGCTTTGTTTAAAGTTAGAGCTGTATTATAAATTATTAAAGCTATTTTCTAAAAATCCCTTTGCTGTGCCTATGAAAAAAAAAAATAATTCCTTTACAGGGGGAGAAATGAATGGAAGTAAACATGTTTATTGCTAGAAGGAAGGTTTCCCCTGTCTGCGCAGTGGTAGAGTCTCAGACAGCAAGGTCCCAGTAGGTCAGACTGGCACATTGAATTGCGTATCAAATGAAACTGGTATTCTGGAAAAGGGGTGGAAAGAGGAAGAGGGGTGTTAGTGAGGAGGTTGCTCGGGCCAGAAGGGTGGGCCACTGAAAAACAACAAGTTAAAAAATAGGATTGATGATTTGCAGGACACCTAGGGTATTTCTTTCAGGGGGTATTACTTCCACTTTTAACCAGGAACAAGAGCTAGAAGAAAAAAAAGCGGCAGGAGCTGACAGCTTTGTGCTGATCAAAGGGACGGAGCACTGAATGCCTTCTTTTGCTAGCTATTTATTAGAGAGAGAGAAGGGCTCCTTTGCCATTCTACTTAGAAGAGAAGGGATTAAAGATCAAAAAAAAAAAGGAGGGGGACCGGCATGAGCTCTTTGTTCAGAAAATATTTCCCTGGTTTTTTTTTTTTATGGTGTGCTGTGCTGTCCACTACAAGACAAAAACACCATTTCTTTTTATAGCATTACTCCCTTTCTTTTCTCACTGAAATTTCTAGTGATAAACAATTCTAGTAGCATTTTTTTGTTTTTAAAGTAAAGATGGCCTCCCCTTTGGGAAACTTAGTTAACTGTCTTTTAGCCTGATTAACCTAGGAAATAAAGTTTAAATGCACTGCTGGGATTCTATTAGAATCATCAGTTCATACAGATAACAGCAAAAGGTGTTAAAATGCACTTCACTGGTGCAAGTGATCTCATGTTGTAAAAATTATTATCCCCAGCAGAACAGGGAAGGATTAAGGGGCCGTGCCTACGTCTGGGAAACTCCGTAAGTGTTTTATTAGCATTAGTACATGTATTAATCACACAGACACACAAAAAAGGGCCCGTCAGGATGGTGGCAAATGGCAGAGTGCATTAAACCTACTCTCTTAAGTCAGTGGAATGCGAGCATCTTTATTCCTAGAATTGATATAAAGCTGTTAAGTAGCATGAATGAAGTTGGGGAAAGCCTGCTTGTATGACTGTGGATCATTGCGGATTACCTAAAAAGAGAGACTGCTTCTGAAGTAAGGCACTCCCATTGCAGAGCCTCTGAAGAAATGTGGGGTAAATTTTGTTCCAGCCTCAAATCAGTTGAACTGCACTGCAGATGTTTGATCACAGTGCCCTGACTGCTCATTTATATTCTGATTTCTGTTATGTAGATCAGAAAGGAAAAGTCTATCCATGTCCCATGCTTCTGCTCCATCCTTTGCTCCTTAGTTCGGGTTGCTGCTTCCCAGCATGAGCAAGAGTCTGGCTAAATGGCTGTGCAAGCAAGGCTGAGGCAACACTGCTAGAAACAAATGCTCTTGACCAGCCATGTGAATAATTCAGCAGATGATCACCATGAGGTTTGAGATGAGCAGCATTTTCCACACTTTCATTCCATTTCCATTTCCAGCGCCTAAATTTTGTTTCATCTTGATAACAACCACAAATAAAAAATGAAGCATTGCCAAATACGCTTTTTTACAGCCAGCTTTTTATAAGCATTAGGTTAGCAAAACAGATACATGGTGATGATATTTAGGGTTCTTTTTGATCTCCAGGCTTCGCCACCACAAAAACAAATGTAAGTCCTTTAGTAGAGATTAGGAATGCAAGTCTTTGAGAAAGAAAGGTCTCATGGTTTTGCTATCACCATACTAGAGCAGCATCTAGAAAAGTCTTGATAAAAACTACTTTGGCACCATGATGGATGTGATAGTGAGACATATTATTGACTTCATTGCTAAAAATATTATAGTTATACATGTTGAAATCCTGTCAAGAAGTTGCCTCTTTCATTCCAATATTAAACACTTCTCTTTCAGTGGATGTTTGGAATATTGTATATGTCTGTCACCACAGCACTGACATTTATTATTTTGTTCATCAAAATGTCACCTGCCAATCAAGATAGCTAAGATGAGTTAAGACTGGGAAACTTTGTCGAATCATCATACACAGGATTTTTTTCTGCCAGCAGATGTATTACATGAGACACTTACATTGATGTGGAATAGCAACAGAAGTCAGCTGCCTTGTCTGCAAAGTTAAAGAAATTATCATTTGCCTTACGAGGATATTTTAGTAATTCCTTCACAGCATTAAGGGGACAGATAGACTATAAAACCAGTCAGTCCCAGATAGTACAGGTTTCTTAGAGTACATAGACTTGCAAAGAACTTTGAGGAGGAAGGGGACTCTGTGAATATTAAACATTTTAAGTGCCATAGCGTTTTGAGCATGCTTAGCTAGATTACTTGGCTGCCTTCAAATCCTGAAAAAAAACTTAACTGAGGGCCTAGTATGTAGCCAGGTGACAAAAGAGACAGGAAATAGAATGCTAGAAAAGTGGAAATCAACTTCTAAACAGGGAAACAAAGAAGAAATGAAAAGCCAAGCCCATAAAAACACAGAGAGGGTTTTAGAAGTGACACCACTCTGACAGAAGATCAACGCTGACAGAAGATCAACTGTTTCAAATATACTGTATTTCTCCACCCACCCCTGAGTAGATCTTAAGTACCCTTCACTGCCTTGGAGTCAGATTTCAAGCCAAAATGTCTGTGTTACTAGTTTTGCAAGTGCTACCACTAATTGAAACCACATAATGTTGCAGATCTGAAATAAGGCAGGCAGGGCATCCCTGCTGAAAAGCTACCCAGCAGGACAACCCCTTTGTTCTCTTTTAAAATAAACTAATTCAAGGGAAATGTTGTCTAAATCATTACTTCTAAATGTATACAGAATTTCCTCCCTGCCCCTCCCTGTTCCCCCCCCCCCCCCCCGCAATTTTCCTGATGAGCTCTCAAAGGACTTTGCTATTATTGTAAACTGCAAAAATGGTTTTAATATGCACTCTTGTCATTTCTAGGTGTATAAATTTTGCCTTTGCAGGGATTTTATATGGCACATATTGTGATCACCTGTGAGTAGGGTAGTTAATTAGCAGTCCAGGTCCTATTTCATTTAATTTATACTGGAGCAATCTAAACTAGCAGAATGATCACAGCCACACTCAGTAATTTAATTCCTTCCTTTCAAAGCTGTTTTAGTAATTATACTTTGGTTGTAAGTTTTCAGAAAGCTTTTACAGTACTTGTTTTCTGGCCATGTAAGCTCCCTCCCTTTTCAGCTCCCCTCAATCCTGGCTTTTGTCCTTCTGGGTACTGTTGGCTGCATTCCATTAAGAAATTAGAAAGGATGCAGCTGTCATTATTTTGTCAATCGTAAAATCTAAGACATGGAAAAAGTCTTAGGAAGGCAGGGGAGTCATGTAACTTCTATTGAGAAGACAGATTATTCCTCAATACTTCTAACAGTACTTTCACTTGACCTAAAAGGAAAACTTTTATGTGGTGGAGTTTTATGATCCAGGCTTGGATTTCCCAGTGGATCACTGAGATATGTGCACATAAACATCACTTTATACTTGGTTTGGAAATTCAGAAAAGCCATCCTAAGCACTTCTGGGGGAAGAACTCATATAATTTCATCTTGAGCCAATCATTAAAAGTTTTGGATCTATAGGAGTAATTTATCTACCTACATTAACAGCCATGGCATAGACAATATGCCTGCAGCCCAGACCAAACCAAAGCATGCTTCTTGTCACAGTGATTGGAAAAACAACAGCATGTAACTGGTAATGTGCATATAAGTTTTTCACTTGCAGCTTGGCAATGTAGACCTTGCTCCCTGTGTGCCCTTTTATAATTGATCCTATTTTACAGTGACTTTGAGATTTAGAAAGACTTTTGGGAGTGGAAAAAGTTTTAAAAAACCTGCTTTAGTTTTTCTCTCTGGATAGATACAAGAAAAATAATTTCACTGTAATTTCAAGATTCCACAAAAACCTGCAGTTTTGCCATTGGAATTTTGATTGCAGAGTGGCAGACAAATAGGTTAGTGCTTACTTGTCAGTGCTGTAAGAGCTGGCCTTTACTGATGCTGCTAGTGTTGCCAGTTAACCATATTCTCATCAGACATGCATCACAATTTGAAGTGAAGTAACTTCATAAATTCCTATGAGTTTCTGTATGCCTGCTACAGATTATACACCAAAGATCAAACTTTCAACATCTGTTCATGCTGGAAAATATTTTTGTGTGTGTGTTTTCTTGGCTAAAAACTCTTATTTAAGTATGTCAAATAATTTGGTACTTATGAAAAATTCCTTCCTGACCAGTGTTCATCTTGTTTGTGTGTATGGAAGCACAAATCTCAACAGTTACATCACTTTTAACTTAAACAGCTGGTGGCAGTCTAATTATTTATTTTCTTGAGTCCATGGCCTTTGGAGACACAGATTTCCAGTCACTGGTTAGTTTCCAAGTAGTGGGAAACCTTTTGTAAAATATGGCACTTCAAGGGGAGGAGGGAGGGCTTTACTTTAGAATAAGAAAAGTGTCTGTGGATTGTGTTTGAAGAGACAATGTATGATTAATGATTCTCTATTCACTGGAAAACAGCAATTCTTATTAAATGAAATGAGAGTGCATCAGAGTAAAATGCAGCCTGACTGAGAAAAAGAACTAAGCCTAGGAAACCCAAGCATCAACCTATTTTTCCGGGCAGTGAAAAACAAAGTGTGGGTGATTAGGCTTCACATTTTCAGTGAAGAAGCCAAATATATTTTGTTGCTTTCTCTCCACCATATAGATTGGTCCTGAACTCTGCCAAGGGTTGCATGTTGCTTGTCTGGGCTAATGAGTAAGTTATCAAAATACTAGATTTATGACAGCAATCAAGGAATTAATGAGCAGAGTTCTGATGGCTGAGGAAGCTTTTGCAAATCCCCAAAATAGAGAAAAATCTCTGCTTGAATCATCTTCTCTTATGAGCTGGTATGGCATCTGCTGCTCCAAGTCTA